CACACACAGACCTCATTTCAATGCAGCCACTTCTGTGTAGGCCAACCCTTTCTGTATGTGAGACACACGTGAAATACACCTGAGCAGGCAGCTGTAATTTGAGGGCCCTTTCAATCCCACAGGTGCCTAGTGGCCCCAGTATGGATACAGCTACCTGGGTGTGAACTTCACTCTATTGATGTCACCCATTCTGTTTCCTGCAAGCCTGTTATTGCCTTCACACAATGGTATTCTGCCAGGCTGGTAGCTGCTCCTGTGGCAAAACCTTCCAGCCTAGACAAGCCCTAGAAGCTTAAAGTCTTTCATTTCTTTTGAGGCGGTTACACAACGGGCCTCAAGCTCCCTGCCAAATGCTGGTTTTTTACAAAGTTGGCACTGGGGATGTGAGCCAAGTATCGCAAACCTGTGAAGCAGATGAGTGTGTGTTAGTCAGCAAATGACAGAGGAGATCGGCCAGGAAGTTTCAAACCGCATCAGGCTAGAGCCTGACTTTGCTAATGCTTTCTACTTTCTAGTTCCTACTCCTACTTTTATCCTAAGATCAGATAACAAGTAGCAGTTTTTCTTTGTAACAATTCATTAATCAGAGAAATGATCCTTGCTGGTGTTTAGATGTTTTACTTAATTTGGTACTTCTGGCCTGCTGCCCCAGTAGTGCCAAAATTATTATTTCTCACCCAGCAGGTGATAAATAACAACTTCAGTCATGATTAATACCATGAATTTCTCAACCTGACTAATGCAAAAAACTTCAAACCTGCAGAACAAGTGGGTGCTAATTGTTGTGAGAGCCATTGGAGCTGCACTCTGCTTATAAAGAAAGAAAGCCACAGGAAATGAAGTGTTTTCTAGCAGCACAGCTGATCCTAAGAGGCATCATTAAGTGCAGCTCAGCAGCATTCTCCATGTGTAGGGCTATGGTAGCCTCTTTTTTTCCACAACACTGAGCTTTAAGTACATTTGAAAGGCAGGAGATTGCCAGGTTATTTTTCTTTCCCTGGGGAGGAAAAGGAGAAATAAAACAAAAGGCAGAGAAAACAGCAGTTTAATATCTCATTAACACCACTCAATACTAAAACTTTTATAACTGATAGATGAAAAATGACGGATCCTAGCAAAAGCTGCTCACACCAAAGCCCCTTCACATGTCTCCCTTGAAATCTCATCACATCATAAAAGGTAGCATCAAGAGGTTACCCACCCATTCAAGGAGAACTTGCTTCAGAGAGGGACAGGAAAACCAGAAGATCAGGAAGGATTGTCAGCTGGAAACAATGATCCTATACTATAAATCAGTCTGTGGCTGAGATCCTGGCACTTTCAAATCACCGGTTGATTTGCCACAGCCTGTGGTGGAGCAGGGTGTTTGCTCCTTTTCCTGTGCTGCACTTAGAGCAGCACAGGGCACACAGGATTCACAGTCTAGCTGTGTGTACAGTGCTGTGCTGGTCAGGAAAACGAGCCCTTCACACCTGGAGCTGGCACCATGCGTATTTCTGATAGGGGCAGACACCAAAATCCAGCAAGGACACGAGCAGGTAACTGTGCTGAGGGGGGGTCTGTGCTGAGCAAGATTAGGCCATTCCACAATCCCAAAGAAGCTTTTTAGGAATGGAGAAGCAGTCCTGTTTTCACCAGGACTTTCCGTTTTAGCTCCATCAGGTGAAGAAAGTATCTGCTACTTTCCAACCTGAGAACCTGCCTACGAAGCTAATTACTTGTGGAATGAAAAGACTATGAGAAGCAAACCACAATGGTCAAGTGATTTGTACTCAGGCTCAGTTATGTCTGTTCACTCGTAGCTCTGACAGCTTTTGTGACTTTGTGGGCTGTTTTGGTCGGGCAACTCCCATGCTTCCTGGTGGATGATAATCCATGGTTCTGACATTTTTTCTGTTAGAAACCTACATCTTGTCTTAATTTGGGGAAACTTTAGAAGTTCCAGCCATCTCTTTTCACTCAAAATAGCCTGTAGGGACTTTGTATTTGTGAGCCTGGAAAGGTAGGAAAGAAAATCATCATCCCCACTGTCCTGCTATGTGAGATAAACAAACCATAGGCGTTCCTGGCCTGACTCCTGTTTCTAGTGCAGCAGCTGTGCTTCAGTCTTGGGAGATCTTCTAGAAACACCCACAACTCAAGAGTAAAATTCTCACAGACTGCAAATGCACTGCCTTGTCTACTAGAGGGCCACTCAGACCAGCAGAAAGCCCTCACTGCTTCGTTTTGGAGAAGGCAGGTCAGTGTCCTCGCTCAACTCCCTTGCAAGAAAGGCTTTTGGGTTTGGGTTGGTTTGGGGTTTTTTCAGCCCTTAATTTGCTTTATTGCTGGTGTTGTTAAAACTTTTCATTCCTTTTCCTGAAGTGTGCCCGGCACTTGATGAGCAATCTGTTTTAGTGTCCTTTGTAGGACACTAAAGTTAAACACTGAGTTAAAGCACAGCTTGCCATGCAAGTGTTGGTCCTTGGAGCTCAGCCCAATCTGCTACACAGCACCAGTCATGCTACCAGCATCGCTTTAAAAAGCATAATGGTTTCTTGTATTTATGAAGTACAAAGAATGTCATTTGGCTAGGATTTTAATAGCTATTTTCAATGCAGGTAGCAACGCCAAGATTTTCCTTCTAAGTTTAGGTATTACCTAGAATGAGTTGCAGCCTGAACTACAAACCAGCCCTGTAGCAAACATGCCATACAGAAAGAATCCTCTTCAGTAAAGGAAGTAAGGAATGCTCTTTTCCATTTAAATGAAATTATCAAAGTCACACACAAGGAATGACGGGTGGTTAAAACTTTCAGAAACTTCAGCTCACCTTGAGAGCTCAGTCTCTGCTTGTCCTCAAACTTCAATATTGAAAACTCAATGTGATTTGCCTGTCTCTGTATCCTTAAGCGAAGTCTGAGTAGCTCAGGTGGATTTACACAAACTTTGTTTGCAAGAGATGAGTATCTTTTGCCCAACCACTTCCACAGCATTTATTTTCTAGATGAGACATTCAAAGCAGGTTAATGCATATCACTCTGTGGGGTTTTTTCACTACTCTATCGTTACAAAGCTCGCTGTATGTTACTGCACAAAATTTGCAATAACTTGCTGTTCAGCATTCAGGGTATTGTATTACCAGAGCTTGCTCTGCCTCACCTTGCCAGAATACAAAAAGTTTCATTTGATGCTGTTTCAAAGCAATTGCTGAAATTTGGTTACAAGGTGGCTAATGGCCACTGCAGCCTTTGGAAGAGGAGGAACACATGACCACTTGCACTTTTTCAGACTGCATAAAAATTAATAGGTAGAAATGGTTAATTAATGGTTAGAAATCCATTAAGTAAATTACTCCTGTAGTTCAGTCTATGGTAGCAGAATTGCTGAAACAACAGAAGCTAGTTCAAAATCTTTCCTCATAAATGGTGCTCTGCAAATAGCAAGAGGGTAAAAGACCAATTTAATTACTCTGGATTAAGATACCTGAGTTTTCACAAAGGATTTCCCCATCGCCATGGCACACTAACTTTAGTCTATGAGCACTCAAAGTAGCACATATTGCAATGTTCTCCCCAAACTTTTGAAGAAAAACCCAACCAACACACAACAAATTCTTCTCCAGTTGTTTTCAGGGGTTGAATTTCATGCAGAAAAGCAAGTTTGAAAGAAGTATCTGAGTTCTCAGCTAACAACTGATTTGATAGTAGAAACGGTCACTAAGCAGTCAAGAGCTGGCAAGGTTTAGTTTAAAAAGGTGTTCAACAGAGAGATGTGAATTTTTAAGACTCAGACGCAGGACAAGGGTAATTTACCCCTCCTGGCAAGAGTGGTTTGATGAAATACAAAGACACCCCTACACACTAAGTGGATTTGACTGCAGTAGGACTTAGGACTGTTGTATCAAAAAACAGGCAGTAAGAATTCAGCTATTTTCCAGTCCAGCTGGCAAGAGTGCTCCCCCACAAAAGCAGTGAGTAAGCAAGAGTGGTTCAGAAACCTGTCATGGGAAACACAGCCAGTCCAAGGCATGCAGCTGCTTTCTGCTCAGTTTTAAGAGAGAAGGAAATGGCAGCCAAAACCTCATGACCATTGTATAACCAGTTGAAGCCATTAAGTGGTCTGACACTAAAGCATATAGTCAAAAGAACATATTTCAAAATAAGAACACAATGGTTCCAGCAAGCCAAACAGCCTGAGCAGGTTCCCAGTTGTACCCATGACTTCCTGAGAGCACAAGGTTTGTTTCTGCCACCAGCATGTTCCTGGTGGTGCTTTTGGAAAAGCATGAAGTACAATTCACACAGCAGAACAGAGCAGTACCATTTAATGCACTTGGAATAATACTAGTCAGATCAGTCCTTGCCTACACACAAGAACTCTCCCTTGAAAAGCTCAGCATTGCCAGGGTTTTTGGAGCACCACAGTGATACTTCTTTGTTTACTTCTGTATCATTGTGGCTACATCTACCAAGAATAATGTGGAGGCAGAAGGACCAAGACATGCCAGCCACAGGCTCTGTGAATCCTTTTTCTATGAGAACCACATCTGGTAGATCAAAGTTCAGAAGCATTGTTAACATACTGGAAGTGGAAGCAGTGAAGCAGACACTTACCTAGCAAGTTAGTTTCTTAAATAAATAGTAGGACAAGCTGGGGATTAAAACTGGGAAACTACAGGAAGAAAAAAAATTATAATCAAAAAACCAAAAGTGCATGAGAGATAAAAGCCAGAGGCAAGACACACACAAGATGGACTGACAGCCAGAAGCAACTTTGACACAAAAATAAGAACTGACTGAAGATCACATAAGTTGTGTGCTACAGAGGTCCAAGACATTTTTTTCACCCGATTTCTAAATAAGTTTTAGCTGAGGCAGACAAACTTTAAGATCTCTAATGCATACTTTCACTCCCAGCCTAATAATTCTAACTAGTTTACAGTTTTATTCCAAGTGTCCTGCCAAAAGGATCCCACTCATGAGCTACACTAAATTTAGTAAAAAAGGCATTTAGAAAGATCAACTTCAGTGTTTTATTTTTTTTTAAATAGATACAATTTTTCCAAGGTCACTTTACAGTAAATGGCATACAGGCTAATAAAATGGAAACATTCATACAGACATTTCAACTTAAATGTGTACATAATATTCTACAACACAAATACTGTAGCTAACATTTTTTTCTCACTCCAGAACAATTTGGCAGCTTCAAAATGCCATTCTATTCCCAAAATCAATTTATTTAACAAAAATAAACGCAAAACTGAAATGTGATCCACCCTAAGCACCATGCTTATTTGAGCAAGGATGATTTCTTGGAAGATTGGACTGAAACTGTACAGCTGTCTTTGTCATGACCCTCAAAGTACTGCTGCTCTATTCGCCGACAAAATGCTGTAAGATTACTGTAGTTCTTCACTTTTTCAGAGAGTTCATCAGTGATTAGTTGAGTAGTAAGGATTGTGAACAGATGTCCAAATACCAGAGCATCTAATTCAGTTGGTCTGTAAAAAAAAAAAAAGAGAGAACAGGTATTTTGGGAGACAAGTCCTGATCAAGAAAAACCATGTCGTTCTGAGTAAGCTTTATATAACCATGCAGTCTAAGAATTGGGAAGAAATCAAGCAAGGCTAAATCAAATGTATGAAATCTGTGTATAGGGTATATTAAAAAACCTGCTTGTTCTCAGGATGGCATTTTCCTTGCCTTAGGGAGCTTGGAAATGTGGAAGTAACACCTCTTAGATCAGACAGACTTACTGATCTAGTTTCAAACCATGCTCCACCTTTTAGTCCTGTAACAAGGGCAAATGCTTATCAGGTGTTTTGTGGCTCTTCTTTTTCTTCTGCAGATGTGTATTAAAAAAATCCATTATATTCCAAGGGGAAAAAAAAGGAGACCAGCAGAAGCTTTTGACTCCCATTCTTTTTTTATGTGTTCTGCAATAATCTGAAACTATTCAACCAACAAGAAAGGGAGTTCCATGGTGGCAGCAGCTGGAAACACCTCTTTTCTGAGAAAACAGGTATTTTGGGAATGTTTTAGGTATGAGCCTTCTGATTTGTCACCTTGGACCTTAAAGCGGTCCATGTATATAAGCAGTCCATGTAAAAATAATTATTTTTTTTCGAATGTATTAATAACTTCAGAGTCCTGCTTTACTAATGTTCAGTATATGCAGCATGAAGTTTTCCTAACTGATAAAATTTCCACCTTTTTATTTTTGTGGATCACTAAGAACTCTCCAGTGGCAATATAGACCCCTGCATAACAAACTTGAATCTGTCAGAAACAGGCTGCTTTTCTTATTCACCTCTCAAAGACTCACAGAAGTCACAGACTGAAAACTACTGGACTAAAAATACATACTTCATTAGTAGTATTTCAGACAGCTAAAAAATTTAAAGATTGAAACTACCAAAAAAAGTCTGGTTAACAACCAACAACACAAATTTCTCAAGTTACAATTCTTTAGAAATACAGAAAGAAAATTTAAGAGATGTTATGTTTAATAATCGTAGGAGAAGACGCAATTCAAAATCGTCTTCTATAAGGCATGTTTCTGTATCCCCTGAATTAACACTACCCAACTAGTCTCGCTTGGAAGATAAAGGGGCAAAGACACAATGCAGAAAAGTAACCAAATACTGCCATTTGAAGACATCTCCCTGTTCAAATGTAGTAAACTGAAATCTAGACCTGAGCATTTCTAGACTGATCTATGCACAGGAGACAAGAGGAAGCTAATGTGATGTTATTTAAGTCTGTAACATTTCAAAAATAGTGAATTATTGGAGAGGGAAAAAAAAAATTAAAAGAGCATATTGCAATTGAAAGAAATTGGTGAGAGCAGAGGGCATTCCCTGGAGGTAAGGTAATTTATTTTTTCTCTCCTGGCAATGTGAATCTTGGTTTTCACTTTGCATTTGGTTCTTTGGTGGACCAGCTAGCTTCTCCCCCAGTTCTTAGAACTCACAGGCACCCTCATTCTAATTCAGTTCATTCAGAACTGCTTCTGGTGTTATGATAAGCTGTTCTGATCAGGTTGGCACAACACAGATCCAGTCCTCTAGCAAAGAATGTTACCCAAGAAATACAAGTAAAGCTTTAAATGTATCATTTTTAATAAGAAACTAACTATATCAAAGTGTGCATTTGTAGCCTACATAAGTTGTGGTAGAATGTGTAGAGAAGACAACCAGGAGTAAAACAAAATCATAAATACAACAAACTTACAGAAGCTTTCCCTTTAAAACCTTTTTAAAAAACTTATTTCTGAAATTTCAAGTTTAGATTCCAATCACACATTTGTATTTTTGCAACTAATCACACAGCATTAAAATAAAATAGGAGTTTTATATAACTACATTTGTATGTATGTGGGTATATACCTATATCTCGTAATTCTGGATGCAGTATTTCAATGAAGAGTAACTTACTGTTTATTGAAGAAATATGGTTGTGTTCCTAATCTCTGGGAGAGAGCCTGACAGCACTGATCTACATCTTCAAGCACCTATCAAAACACACAAGAAAGAAAGATCCATATTGTCAGGAAATAACACCATTGCAAGAAATAACTTTATTCTGTTTGCACCCACAGTGGGAACAAGAATGTAACATGCTGGAATATCAAAAGCTGTTAAAGTCAGCCAAACCTACACAGCAGGCAGGTAGCAAAGTGTTACTTAATCTAACATTTGATGCAAGGCAATTCTGATTAAGTGCTTCCCCTAACATTTATAATTGAGTTTAATGAAAGGTACTGACTTAAACCTCACAACCTGCCACAATCCCACAAAGAGTGCCTATCAGCATCATACAGGAAGCAGGGCACAGAACTTACAACCTATTTTCAGGGCAGCAAAATATCCTTCCTCCCACCCCATCGGGCAGCACATAGTTTACGATTTATTGCTGCTGAAGGCAAACCTGACTCATGATGATGTTTAAAGTACAGAATATACATTTCACTACATCTGTTTCAGGAACATGCTACTCTCCACTGCCTATTAAAAAAAAATAAAAGAAAACAAATCAAAAGGTAATCAGGGTAAAGAAATAAGGATCACTTTTCACACTTACCTGTTCTAGGGTCTTTCCAGCCCATCCAATGGCTTTCATCTTTCGCCTAACCTCCCACTGCTTCTGATAGGACAAAATGCGGTTAAGAGGCCACGGATAAGGAGAGCCATACCTTGGGTGAGTAATCTTTTTTGAAAAACAGAAAGGTACTGCATTATATTACAAGAAAATACAGATACCTCTTGAACAAAACAGATAGTATTTAAATATTTCTTTCAGAAAAGGAGCTGTAGAAGAGAAAAGCAGTTGTGTATGCTATAACTATTTGCACAGAATCTACTGTTTGAAGCATAACTATTTAAAACTATTCTTTCAGAAACATAAAGAAAACCCGTATCTATTCTGCAATCGGCTCCCTCCAGTAACACGGCCTCCCTAAAATGCGTATGCAATGAAATTAAAGTGGAAAGACTTTATCATTAATGGTATAAACCCCCATGTTTCATTTATGAGTAGGGACTTGCAGTTGTGAGCAAAAGTGTTTTCTCATTAAATTTTAATTAAGATAAATGCTGTGGAACCACTCACCTCCTCTACTGTAACATCATCACACCACTGGAGATAGAGCTAGGAGAAGAAAGAACACTTACTAAAACTTCCTAATAAAGGAGAATACAGAAACAATTATTTTTCACTAGTAGAATTTTCTTTTCTAAATTAGATTAAAATTTCCATTTAATTTCTTCTCCTAGACCTTTGATGTACAAAAGAAATTAAAACTGGAAGGCAAAAGCCATTTGCTAGTCCTTGCTTCACCAGCACCAAAACTAAGCTGAGACCAAAAGCCTGCTCCTGTTGCCCACACCACACCCAACTCAAGGCACAGGTGACCAGCCCTCAGCTCCTCAGTCACCTGCATCTCCCAGCGCTTCCAACACTGCTCCCACCAGGACTGAGTCACCTGCACTGGCCACAGACAGGCAGCACAGAGGATCTCAGGCTTCCCCCATGCATGGCATGCACATGGGGACAGTGAGAGCGGAGTGCCTGGCCAGCTGGGGTGTGCCATAGGACCCCAACAACCACTGGCACTTCCTGGTCAGTTACTTCTACACTTGACATAGGTGAGGGGAATCACACGTGGCTACAGGAACAGGTCAGCAAGCAACCCACAGTGTAGGAGAACTTACTCCTGTCTCCTTTCACCTCAAAAGCTGATGACCTAATCTGAGAACAGCACTATTTCCACTACTGGGAAAAATCCTAAAGCTTTCTTGCCTACAGTCACTTATGTAAGTGTGTGGAGTTACTAAGGTTTGCTGTACCTCTGCTGTCAAGAGCATATTATTGACCAGTTCCATGTAGGCTTTCATCTCAGCTTTTTGGACTTCATCCAATCCATCACTGAGAGAATGGCCCTAATGGGGAAAAGAAAAAAGACACACATGTAAGAACGAGTATTGGAGTATTCAGCAACATACGACCCAAGGACCTTTAACATCAATGAGCTTTGGCTCAGATTCTAATCTCTTACATAGTTCAATAACAAATTCATATGAAATTTTTAGATACCGTATCCTTTACAATTAAAACCAAATCATCACAATGTAACTAATCTAATCTATAAGAAATCTAAACTAATCTACAAGAAATTTAGACTATTATCAGTTATAGATGAACTGACTTTGAAGTATACAACCTCCTGGTTGGTGTATCCCTATGGCAAGAAGTAAACACAAATTTACATTTGTGATACAGATTCAACTTCCCAGTTAAAACATGGCATTTTTTTAAACAGACGGGAGGGCAGGGGGGGTGGAGTGGGAGAATAAGGACAAATTTGAATGGAACATTCCAGGATTTAAAACAATCAGTTCTGGGTTTTAAGACCTCTGAGACCCAGAGACAAAGCATGTAGAAAAACAGTCTCAGAAACTGGCACTGATATGCAGCTATCCTGCATAGAATTTACTTGTAGATTTGAGGAAATGACAAAGAAAAACATTTCCACCTCACAAATTCCTGTTCCACGATATCTTTCTTTTAAACCAGCACTAAATTCCTTGTTTTTACTACTGTTTTAACAAACTCAGTAACATTCCAGAAAAGCACACAAAATCAGAGCAATGCTAAGCAGGATTAACATTCACTAATTAATGAAAACAATGTACAATTACCTTGGCTTTTACAAACTGGACTATGGGTCCAAGTTCAGATACCACTTGATTTCCCACATGAATAAAGGGTACTTTCCCTGTAAAAGGATAAATGTCTTATAGTAACGATACATGTAATTCTGCCTACATTTAAAATTGAAGCGCTATCATTCTCCCTCTTGTGCTCCTTATTTTTAGAAGAAGAAGGAAGTGTTCAGACCTACATTACAACATTAGATGCCAGCAAGTGTGGGCATGAGGTGTGAGTGGCAGAAGAGCCACAGCATGTAACTGTCACCAGTCCTGTTCTGCACATGCAAGATGTTCCTGTATGCCTAGATTCAGCATTTCAAAGCTCTATTTACTAACAGATAATTCATATACCTTCATATTTTGCTGGGTTTTCACTCCTATCAAGCAACTGTTGGTTTGGGGTATTTTTTAAATAGCCTCATTTCACTGCTTGAACCAAAAATACCAGTACAAGCAGTAGAACCCATACAGCTGGCAGATGTATACTGACTGACAGGCCCTTCCATACAGCAGTCATCAGCCAGAGCCAGGTAATCAGTAAATATGGACCTCCTAACACAGCAAAAATCTGGGACAGAGTGTGAGGATGCCGGACTTCAGCACCCAGCGTGCTATAATTCTCTCTGATTCTTAGGCAATATTCTCAAGCTGGCATCTGGGCATTTTTAGGCAGTCGCTTCCAATAAAAATAGGCTGTTTACCTTTCTAATGCTTAACTTTTTGGTGGTGGGTTTGGATTTTTCCCAGACAGTCTCATGGATCCAAGGAAGATTTAAAATCGCCTCTCACCCTTAATAGTGACAATGCACCCTTTGGTCTCTTGTATCCTGGCAATCAACTCCCAGACAGAGTAAAAAGAGAACCTTTCTCCAGTATTGTTTCATTCCAGCAATAGGAAAATATAACGGCATGTCCAGGAATATTTCCTGGATGCAGAATAAAGCCACTTTTGGACACATATGTCTTTCTGTTTTAGGACATTTGAGAGGTTTCCACCAGGCACTGAACTGTCTGAACACTTTATACAGGTTTTGTTGTACACATTGTGCCAGTGTTACTTTGTATTTCACTGTTTTGATTGTTTGCAGAGGAGAAACTGCAGAGGAGGGGGAAAGGCAACCCACACACAGTAGCACTGCCCGACTGTTATCAGCAAGACAAGGCAGAGTTGCCATGGTATCAAAATGGAGGTATAACACAGTAATCTAAATGAAGGCCACACTTACCAGATGGGGACATGTACTCGGCATTTGCTCTGCAAATCACCCGGATTGGCAGATTGCACATTTGCAGAAAGGCCTGGAAACAAAGAGTCGCAGTTGAAAAGCATTAATACAGTGGCAAACAAATGTGGTGTTCTCAATACATTTGACTGTGTTAGATGGTTCCTAGCACACACTTATGAAGTACAGTTCCTTCCATATTGTTTTTAGGAAGAAAGAAGAAGTAAAAGAAAAAAAAAAGGCATTTTTACTTCATTAGACAACTGTTTATCATTCAAACACTGACTGGAATCTTCTAATGCAGTTTCATCTATTTTTGCTGTTTTTTCAAGACAGGCAAAGAAGCAATATCTGACAGACACAATTAGTGCTGTGTCTATAAAGAACTGAGTGACATTTTGCCCCTTTTGAAAACCACAGTACTCATTTCTCCTGGCTAAAGCTGGCTAGTCAAGGTAATGTTGTGTAACATGGCAAACACATATGGCACCTTCCCACATTATAATTACAATAGCTGCCAGAAATGTTGCTCATTGATGCTGTCAAAGCACAAGTCTGGTTTGGGACAAATTTTTAGTTTATGGGATTCATGGAGACCATAAGCGATCAATTTACTGTTTCCTTCTATCTGTGCTCTTAGATTCAAAGCTTTCTCAGAAGGATAACAATTTCTGCCAGCACCTGCCCCTACCACAAAATCCGTAGGCTGTTTCTGTTGAAATTCCAAAATGTCAAGAAAAATATTTGCAGTTTGGACAGAACATGGCAAATAAAAAATCTCTTAATCTCTAGAGACTCTCACAACTCAGCTCTGTCCTGTCCTTCATTTTTATCTCTGCAATTAAGACAGGTCACAATTCCATATTCCAAAATTATTCTATTGTCCATTTATACAATGTGACTTGAGGTACAAAAGGCCTAGAGCAATATGACTCCCACCATGACGAAAAATGCTGCTGTAACACAGCACTTTCTACGTAAGCGTCCTCCCTCCTCTTCCGACTGCAGGATCTGGCAGTAAAACACACTCTCACAGCTTTAGCTGCTCAGACTCTGATTACACACATGAAAGCAACCTAAACCTTAACCTTAATATTTGCTCATCTCTGCACCAGGTGAAACCTTAAGTAATGATCTAACTCTGTCATCAGCTCTGTTCCTAATTTTGTGGTTTCTATAGTATCAAGGAAGCAAAAAATAACCCAAACAGCTCCTCTCCTCTCACCTGTGCTCTTCAAGGCTTTTATATCCAAACTGTAAACCAATCCAGGGAAAAAAAAAGCCAAAAACTTTGGTCTTTTTTCCACCAAACTGAAGAATTGCGCAGTCCATTATGTTATTTGCTTCTTGCACATTTAGATGAACTGACTCAAATGCAAATCTCCACTTGAAGAAAAAAATGATAGTCACAAACTGCTACACAAGACATTAATTTTAGGTGAAAAGAGCCCACCTCAGAATTGTGATGGCTCTACAAAATACATCAGAAACATGGATTTCTACATCTTATGATTAAGTCTAACTAACTAAAAGCTCTGCTAGGGAGCCTATTACTATACATACACATACGGACAGAGACACAGATACATAAGGGGAGGGTAGTTAGTAGTCATGGTCAGTATCAGCCAAATAATTCAGGTCCTGCACTATTAATCTCAGAGTGTTTCATCCTAAACAGAACCTCTACTACTGCTTAAGGACGCAATCATCACAAAGAAAATATAAAGGCACTGGCCACGTTTATAAAGGCACATCACTTACCAAGTCTGTGATCCCATCAGAATACATCAAAAATTGAGTATCTTGCTACCTTGGTACCACAAACTCCATGCAAACAGTAAGAATACCTGAAGGACTAATTCTTCAGTAATTTAAGTAATTTAAGGCATTGGTCTGTCTCAGTCCTAGATCTCTTCCTTTGCCTGCTGGCTCTGCAGGACCTGGCAATGTCCATGCTGCTCCAGCTGCTGTTACAGGTATCATATCTTCCACCCAAACTGGAGCTTCATATACAGCTTCTTCAGAAACAGTTAAGAGACAATGCAGGCTTTGGTTTATATCACATACATGCTCCTACGCCACTGCTGGACACCAAAAATATACACCAACTCAATTGGTACACAGCCTTCATTCTTCTGAAAGCTCTACCAGTAGCTAACACCATATTCCCAACAGTATTGTGCTGCAGTGGAACAGATGGCACCAAACAACAGCTCCAAAGAATTTCATCACTGGTCCAGGCTTACTGAATTAATTCTTTCACAGTAAGGCACTAAATTAACTCTGCAATACTGCAGAAATGAATTTTGTAACTGCCATGTACTATTCAGGCTGCAAGTTTAGAAGAAAGTCTGAATTGCGCTGGAGTTAGGGCAACACATGAATAAATTAAAAGGTTGCAAGTGCAGAGACACATTTAAGTAACAGGAGGTGAATCAGAGAACTATTTTTACTTTTTCATATCAGCATATCAAAAACGAGACATGCTTGCACAGAACACTTGGGTCACACAAGTTGCTTCAGATTCCTGTCCACTGTATACTGTATTGTACATAGGCTCCTATGTAGCACAAGGCTTCCACAACAAATAGTTTGTGACTGAAAATTTTTTCAGTTTAGAGTTTACACTAGTTTTCATCTGACTTTCTCTCTCTTCAATAATCATCCTCCAAGGAATATCAGCTCTTTTTACTCTGGAGGGGAAATTCCACCTCAGTTTCTGGCCTAGTACAAAGAGGACTGAGAATATGCTGATAATTTGTAATTTCAAAAATGCAAATAAACTGTTCATGTGCCTTTTTGAACTTTGTGAAGAGGAGAGAGAAAGATAAATTAGATTTGAGCTCTACTGTGGAAATAAATATTAGCTACATAAACATGATTGCTGCTCTTGATAATAGACCACAGACTCTAGTAATGTTAGAAATCATTTAGTCTACCCCAGTTAAAAAAATCAAAATGAAAAAAAAAAATTTAGGAAGACTTTAAAGTAAACACCAAATCATACACCTGAGAAAACTTCCTTGGAATATTCATCTTCAGTTCTAATGAATGCTTTATTAAATGGGAGACCAGGACTAACACTGAGAAGAATGATTCAGGCTTAGAACCGGATAAACTCATCTAGCACTGAATTTACCACAACAGTCTTCCTGCAAGATTCTGAAACAGTGACCACTGACTACTGGAGCTTCCCCTTCAACAGCTTTACAAGGCTTCTTCCAGCAACCCCCTTCAGCATTCCTATGCCAAGACCTGTTCCACTTCAGATTTTGTATATATTTAGGATTGGCTTTAAGATGAGTGATGAAATAAACCTAAATATGTAATATAGGATGTAATATTAATAGTATAACCTAAATATAAAATACAATCAACCTAAGAAAATAATTTTTTTAAATCCCTGCCATTACATCTTTAAAAAGATAGAAGCCCAGGGAATAAAAAGACCACTATGTCTGTCTGTTATGAGCTGTGACTTGTATCCAAAGCATGACCTGCTTGACTTTAAGTGCTCCTTACATAATGTTCTACAGCAAAATAAAGGAAAGGTCCACAGTATAAGACAAATTTAATCCTTATTGAATCTACACTGCTTAACTAATTAACTAGAGAAGTAGGCCAGTACCTACTTCTTGCTTCAGCTTAAACTAATGGTCCACTGGACACCCTTCAAGTTAACTAAAAAATTCCTGTCAATCAGTAAAAGAATACAGTACCATCCCAGATTAGAAGGGCTCAGCCTAAGAAATAAACCTTGCAATTTGCATTACTATGAGTACTTACATTGCTTCATTGATGCAACTGACAGGCTTTGGAAATTATTAGCATTAATAAGACAGGTGGTTTTGACTTTCCAAGCACAGTGAATGCATTCCATATTTATGGAAATTAGAGTTTCTTTTAGAAAAAAACATGGACAAGGATTGTGACCAATGCATTCCTATAAATATCCACTGCCAGAAAATCCTGACATTTTTTTTCTAACGCATTCAAGTAGATATGCTAGATATTAGACAATAACTGATGTGAGACAGTACCAGACTATTACCAAAATAGTTGAAACTGGAGCAGATCAAAGAAATCCTAGAGAAAAAAATATAGGACAAAGAAGCAATTCCTCTGAGTCTTTATCTCATTACATGCTTTAGCCCAGTGATCAAGGGAGGATTTGTTCCCTTTTTGACCACTCACGCAGAATGTCAAGAACCAGCACATTTGGTGTGCAGATGGTATGAGACCACCATGGCTTCCAACTCTGATAAAAGATGCCATGGAACACTGATTACTTCAGCTCAGAACATCTTGTTTCCCTTTGGGTACCTCACATACACAGTTTGAGCAGGCAAGTTATCCTTGCTTTTCTTGTGAGAGAAATCTTTTTCTGTGAGCAAATGGGAGTGTGTTCAGCTCCTCTGAGTGCTTTTGGGCAAGAGATTGAAGGCTGAAACCATACCAGTGCAGTTTTGCTGAGATTTATGAAGGTATCAACACCCCTTCAAAGACACAGCATCATAAGCTGAGCAATCTAAAAGACCAAGGGCCCAGTCTTATTCTAGTATACCAGAGATTATGCTAACATCATAAATTTGGCTGATCAATGTAAAAAAGGACTGAAAGAGGCAAACTGAATTCCAAGTAACACACAAGCTAGTTAATGACACCCTTGTGAAAATTCACCGAAAAATAGCAAGCAAGACAGTAACAGCGAAACTAGAAAAAAGACATTTAACTGAGCACAGCCTGTCCTACCTCACAAAGATGCCTACAGCTCCAAGTAACAGCATTAAATTTCCAGCTCCCTTCTTCTCTGGAAAAAAAAGTGTAATATCAAAGAACGAAGAGGATGACACTATAGGCCTCAACCTGGATCTCCTCCAGCACCAGAGGAACCAAGTGCGTCCGTTCTTTGGATGAGGTTAATGTAAGAAACAGATAAGGGCATTAAAAAATAAAGATTTGGCTTAATAGAGTCTGTCAGCTTCTCTCCCACACATGCTCTCTGCCCCTTTCCTGCAGTCTAACAGTCCCCTCTCTCACATTCTCCCAGCCTCTCTAACTGTAGCATTACCTAACACACATAAAGTGAAGGAAGAAATGCGAAAAATACATTTTTAGCAATGATACCTCTCTTTTTCCAGACTGAAACCATGGAGTCTACGGTGCTGCTACTGCCCCTGTGCACCTTGCTTTTAATGGAAGACTTTGCTGTAGACAGAGGTGGAAGGTTTCTGCACATCCACAAGGAGAAAGGGCTAAGAGGGAGGCAAAAAGATGCAACCAGATGAATAATGTCTGTCCTTCCCTACCCTCCCAATATTTACCGTTATAGAGTAGGGAAGAAAGAGCTGTGGAGAACAAATTGAAGAAAGTATGGGAAAGCCTCTCAGTGCCTTTCCTGCCCCACTGCATATGATCCACTCAGGACTATGGTTTGTATTGCACTGCCTTATACTCACAGAGAACAGCATGAGCCTCTCTATTTTCAAAATCAGGCAGAACAAGCAAGTTCATATTTTTGCTATGAGAGAATGAGGTATTGGTAACTATGTGAACAGGGCTGATAGGAAGCTTTGAGGTGACACTTGTTACAAAATTAATCAAGTATCTTATGCCTATCATTCATTTCAATCATGGCAGGTGACACCTCCTGCCAGAATTATGGAGTATATTTACAACAGCGTTGCTTAAAGAACACAATCCATGTAAGACTTGCTTCTTCTCATAGCCCACAGAATTTAAAATTCAAAATATAAGCAGGATATTGGATTTCAATTATCTAAAAAAACAATCAGAACAATCACCTTTGTACTGATTTGGCGTAGTTCAAAAGCCTAGAGCCCAAACACTACAGTCAGACACAGGACAACTCACCCCACCCTTCCCTTCTTCCTCACATGACTGACATTCTTGACTGACATTCTCATCTCCACTTCTGCCACCCTTGGAACAATGCAAGAAAGGGGTGCTGTTGTGTCTTCCTCTGATGACAAGTATGGAAAGTGACTGTACATGAAATACAATGGGAAGGCATAGGAGAAGGGAGGCAGGAGTTTTTTATTTATTCGTAGAGTTAATTGGTTTAGGTGTGATTTTCACTCTTGCTCTCCCTTCCTCTTTGCCCTGCCCAGCTAAGGACACTGTCAGTTGGACACACAACACATACTGGGCAGTAAATCACCCTGTCAGTGCTCCATCACAATGCTCTCCTCTTCCCCTACAGTTTCCTCCCAGAAAAACACATACAAGCAAACACATACACTCATTAAAAATGAGTTACAACTTGAAGTAAATCATATCCAGATTGCAGTTTCTGAGATCAGAGGCAAGAATGAAATTACTTATGCCAAGACTCAAATAGTTCACAATTTACGTCGCCACATAAGGAACACTACTTTCAGATGGCACAGTCCAAGCTTCATTTGAAGAAGACACATTCATGATTAGTTTTTAATAAAGAACAAGCCATTCCAAGCCATCTCTTATTCAGCAGCACTTCTAAAGACACTCACACAACATACTGTTAGGAAGAAAGAGTGAAATGGATTTTCTGTTTTCATTTTTGTGCTATTTCATGAGCATACAATGGACAGTATGTGATGACAACTAAAGAGTTATTCTCCACTTTATTGCAGGAACACATTTTAAAATTAAAACCCATGAACAAATCTACAGAATAATTCAGTTTTCATATCAAACAGCTGCAGTCCCTGTAACTGAAATAGCGTGTCTAAGGTTATAAATGAAAACTGTTCAGTATCATTGCTTGAGTGACAGATTAAATTCCTAATCCAGTTATGGTAATGGCCACATGTGTAGTTTAACATAAATTAAGATCTTAATTATATTTGTGACTATTTTAAACAAAATAACAAATTCCTCTGTACCTGTGAATGTAATTTATAGCAAAGCCACGTTCATTCTCCAAAACAATCTATTTTATATTGCATCATGGCACTGCTCTAATGGTATAATGTAATTCCTGTTGTAGAATGTAGAAAGAGTAGATTCACTGGTAGCACAGAGGTTTTGAAGATAAATGAAGATTCTATTCATTCAGAGGTAATTTCATCTTAGAACTATATGAAAGATGTTTCACTCACAA